GCTTGGCTTCATCTCCAGAATTTTCTAGTCACTGAACTGGATGCCTCAGCTGTGTTTGTGTTGTTGGTGCTGTGATATCTCTGTGGGGTGGAAGTCTGGGCTTCAGTTTGGGTCATAGACAGTATAAAACATGGATGTAGCTTCGAGGTCAGAAACTGAGACCAGCATGAAAGGCCATCAGATGGCAATAGTTGTGGTTGCACCCATAAAGGTTACATGGAAAACGATTTTCTGATTTGGCAGTTACAGAGCAGCAAAAGGAGCTTTATTGTATGGGAGGGGATTTGACTCACTTTTGGATAAAGTCCCAAGCGGCCATCAGAGGAACTGCAGTTTTTTGCTTTTCAGCCTCGAGTTTTTCCCTTGGCTAGAATTTATTTTTTTGCTCTTTATTTCAATCTGCAGAATTTTGGCTTTTTGGCTTTTACTGTTTCTCTGAAACTATCTGCAAAATCCTCAAAAGCTTTAAACCACTGAGATCAAAGAAATTCTGTGTTCAACACATAAAAACACGTCATTCTTACAGAGATTGTGGCCAGAAATAGCAACAGTCCCTACGAAGCTAAAACGCTGATATTGCTCCTATTTATAGTTATATCGTTTTTAATATGCATATATCTTGCATCTGGAATTCACCAGAGCTGTTTTCCAGAGCTTAAAGAGACACAAAGTTACTCTGTGTAAACTCGGAGCAGTTCGTGTAACAAAAGGTCTGATCTATATGTGGCAAAAGCAGAACGTAACAGATGATTGGATGACAGCCAGGTCAGCTGAGGGAAGCTCGGCGTGGGGTTCGGTGGAGACCCTCAATTCCCTCTGTGTGGCTCTAACTGGTGTCAGGATGTGGCATGTCGCTGCAAGAAAGTGGGCGGTAATTACAGCCGTGCAGGAGGGGAAGATGCTATCCTGCAGAGATGACAACGCACGAGCGCTCGCGCGCACACACACCCGTGCACCTGCTCAAAAACTGATGAGCCTCTAATGAGCGGTGATGTCATTACAACCAAAACACAGCTGTCTGCTGCCGACTCGTGTTTCCTCCTCGCTGTCTGTCCACAGGCTGCAGATACAGAATGCTCTGCTTTACTGAAGCGCACTCAGTATTTTAGGGAAATGTAAAGTGATAGACTGGATGTAAAAAATGGATGCACCCATTACACCCATTACTTAGTGAAACTCAGCAATACTGCTCATTCATAGGGTAACAACCTGTCAATCATAAGGTAGTCCCATCCTAAAACATGCACTAATTGGGACCACAGTTCACAAAATTAATATCAGATGTGTCCTCTCTCATCACCATCTCTTCCAGGCCATCTAGGGGAACAACAAAGCATTCCCAGGCCAGCCAAGAGATGTAACCCCACCTGTCCTGGGGGTATCCCAGAGTCACCTCCTCCTGGTGGCACATGCCCAGAACATCTCACCCAGGAGGAATCCTAATCAGATGCTTGAAACACCTCAGCTGGTTTATTTGAATGTGGAGGAGTAGTGGCTCTAGTCTGAGTCCGTTACAAATGGACTGGACTCCTCACCCTACCTCTAAACGAGAGCTCATGACCATAGGTCAAGGTGGGACGTAGAATAGAGGAGGAAAAGAGAACCACAGAGAAGATTCGTGGATGTAGTGAAGGACCTGCGGACGGTTGATGTGACCGAGTAGCATGCTACAGTAGAGACAGGGTGAGGTGGAGGCAGACGATCTGCTGTGCTGACCCCTCAAGGAAAAACATGAAGTACTGCTCACCTCAGCAGGGTGGATGTATAAACATTTTCTTTGCAAAAGGGTCTGGGTATCATTGAATAATGTTGGTTTCCTAGTACAAATAAACATATATGAATAAATGAAATATGAAAAAATGTTCTTGATCTCAGAAACAAAACTGAAATGCTGGCCTGAGACATCTGCACACAGTTAATTACTCCGTTAGTTCCTCTGAAACTGAAACAGGAAGTCAGCTGTTTGTTACTAAACCAAATCAATAAAGTCATGTGACTGATTTCTATTTTGTTTCCAAATGCAAAATTTGGAAACGAAAAAAGAAAACTCACTAGTTCGGTTGGTCTTGGGTAGACAGGAAGTAGAAGTTAAGAGAAATAAATATGAAAATAAAAGCAGATAACAGAATAACCTGCTTTGGTTCAACCTACCTCGTTAACCAATTAATCTTCCAAGGTTAACAGCAAAGGTTAGAGTGCCTCTCTAGTAAATTGGTTGCTGCACTTAATTTTTTTTAAAAGATGCAATGTTTTAGAGGGACACTCGATATTTGGGGGGGACTGTAGAAGGTCATTTATGAATTGCTTCTGAGTTGAAAGTGGGTGTTTGTCAGGAAGATTTGTAATGCTGGAAACAAAGGGCTCTTTTCTCACATTACACCCTTTGTGAAAGCAAATATCAATAACACCACAAAAGAAATCCAATAATGTAAAAATAGTCCCTGGTCCATAAATTAAAAAAAAGTGTGTTTTACTGAGTTTATTGAACAAAATATTTTACAGTATCTTGGATATACATATATACATATTATCTTGCACTGTGTAACACGACTGAACCTCCTGCAGTGACATCGATTGCAGCGCCGTGCCTGCACACTTCAATGGAAATAGGAATACATCATTGACTTTCAAACACATTATACAAATTTTAATATAGAAAGCACAAAAAATAAGAATTTATCAGTGAAAAGTACCCACTCTCAGGACAGAAATTCTTCATACAAAAACAACTTTACAGTTTTAATCTCGCTTTTTTTGCAGTTTCAGTATGCAGGTAATAAATATACCTGGAATTCCCTCTTTGTTGTTGTTGTAGGGTGTCATTCACCTTTCCTCTGCAGGGAAATCACCATTAAAGACTTATTCTAGAACAAATAAAAGAAGTGGCTCGGCCACTGGAGCTTCTGCTGGCGTCTCCACCACTGCTGCTCTCACATTATCAGCAGGCCTCTCAGATAACATACACATCAGTCTTCTCCCCAAGAAGCCAGTACGTTCTCATTTTGCCTTTGCCCTGGAAAAACACAGAAATCAATAAGTTCATCAATGGAGATGAAGAGTGGAGGGGTTGGTATCCTCTGCTGACCTTTGCTTAAAGGTGACACTATAAAGCTTTTAAGTCTCCCTTTGCTCACATATGACACTTTAAATTATATATTCTGACTATAGATAAACTTGAAAGGATATTTACTCCTAAATGATTTACCTCTCAAAATTATTAAACCACTTTTGATTGCTGCTTTTACCTTCAAGTTAGATTTAATACGAGGTAACCAGTTTATCTACATTTTATTAGGTACATACATGGGTTGGAACAACTTTTGCCCTCAGAGCTGCTTTAATTCTTCATGTCATAGATTCAACAACGACCTGGAAACATTCCTCAGAGATTTTGATCCATTCTCCATCAACTGCTGCAACCATCAAGCAGTTGCTGCAGTTTTTGCCAGTTGCGCATCCAGGATGCAAAACCTGTTCTACCTCATCCCAAAGGCAGAAGAGATCTGTTGACTGTGGAGGCCATTTGAGTACAGTGAGCTCATTGTGATGTTCAAAAAAACTGTTTGAACATCACAACGATGATTTGAGCTTTGGCATGGCACATTACCCTGACAGAAGCAGCCATCATAAGATGGGTACGCTCTGTTCATAAATATAAGGACATGGTCAGCAACATTACTCAGGCAGGCTGCGGTGTTTAAAAAAGGCTCAGTTGGTACTAAGGGGCCCAAATGTGCCAAGAAAGTATCCCAAACACCATTACACTACCATCAGCAGCCTGAACTGTTGATAAAAGACAGGATGGATCCATGCTTTTATGTCATTTATGCGAAATTCTGACCCAACCATCTAAATGTGGCAGCAAAATCGAAACTCATCAGACCAGGCAATATTTTCGAATCTACTGTCGTCCCATTTTCTGTGAATGCCAGCCTCAGTTTCCTTAGCATATAGGAGTGGCATCTGGTGTGGTCTTCTGCTGCTGTAGCCCATCTACCCTAAATTTCGATGTCATGCGCATTCAGAGATGGTCTTCTGCATACCCTGGTTGTAACAAGTGGTTATTTGAGTTACAGTTGCCTTCTTATCAGCTCGAAGCAGTCTGGAAATTCTCATCTGACATCAATAAGGCATCTTCACCTGGAGAACTGCTGCTCACTGAATATTTTCTCTTTTTTAGGCCAATCTCTGCAAACCCTAGAGGGGGTTCTGTGAGAAAATGTCAGAAGATCAGCAGTTTCTAAAATATCCACACCAACCCTTCTGGTATCACCAACCATGCCACGTTCAAACTCACCTAAATCACAATTTTTCTCTGATCCTCGGTTCAAGCTTCAGCATCTTATATTCACCATGTCTACATACTTAAATGCATTGAGTTGCTGCCATGTGACTCCAGAAAATCATAATGACGTTTGAACATTTAACAATACGAGTCATAGATAAAAGAAATGATATGAATATTATAAACACAAATACGCTGTTGAAAAAAGGATTTTAGTTGCTAATAAAATAGTTTTGTTGCTCGAGGGTTAAAAACACAAGACATCTGCTGTGTTTCATTTATTTACCTAAGAACTTGTCTCATTTAAAGATATTGATCTCTCCTCCTTGGGATGTTAAAATCAATCCCAGCATCCTCATTGATAGTTACAGCCTTGAGTTTACAGGCTGACATATTAATCAGTTAATTAAACCAATAATCCTCAGGCTGATCTATAATGAAAATCATTTGTTGTAGGTTTATCAGTGACATATTTATTTATTTTTATTAACATTCACAATACATATGAACTCACTTTTAAGGCAAAGGTTTAATTTGGTTTCATTCAGATGACGGTTCCTACCTTCATTTCTACGTCTCCTCGTAATTGGAGATCAAAGTAACCAAACTCATCGAGCACTTCTTTGGTGGCCGAGGACACGTGGATCTTTAAGGCTAGAAGAGACAGCAAACACAGCGTGAATGACAAATAACAGCTCACATATCTGCTTTCATCTCCAACCTCAAGATAACAGCTCACAGGAAAACTGTGGAGATGAGCCAATGCATCAAAATGCTAACGGTGATGAAAATCTGTATTGTTTTGTCCTAATAATGCACACAGTGCAGGGATGTGAGATGCGATTCTTGCCCATGAAGCTTCATGCTGCACTGTTAATCGCTGGCTAAGGGCCCTTAGCTGTAAGTGCCATCAATTATTTAGCAGAGGAGGCACAAAACAGGAAGGACCTCAGCAGTTAATCAATACATCTGAAGATTCACTCGCAAAATATCCAGTTATTGATTCATAACACGCTACTGCTGTCACTGCCAGTTAAGAAAAGAAATGTCAGCACGAACAGCATCAGATGCAGCGGGTCACCGCGGCTTATAATTAGCTCACAAATCAGATTTTTTCTTCAGGAGTGCTTCCATCAAAACTCATTAAGAAATGAGTCAGAGACAGAGATGAACAGGTCCTGCGTGCGGTGATAAAGGCTCTATTATTTACTGCTGTTAATTCTGGTAGTCTGGTTCTTGTTTGTTCAATGGGACACGTCCAAAATGTCAACCTCAGTGTTGTTCCTCGATTTGCCAGCCTACAGCTACAGCTAAAGCACACGTCTTTAATTAATAAAAAAAATATCAGTGCACAATTTAATTTTGGATTTTCTCTAAAGTAATTAAAGATGCATGCTGTACAATCATTCTACCCTGGAAAAAGAACAGTTCAAAGAAATCATTACAAGCTCAAAATCATTCTGAAATTCATGCGCATGATGGTTATAAGTAAATGTTTGATTATAACTGTGTCTCACATGGTGATATAACCCTTTACAGTTTACCCAAAAGGCATTTTTTCAAAATTGGGGTGAGTCCTGTATCTCAGAAAAAAAAATCAGCTTATTCTAAAGGGGTGAGGTGGGAAGCACTGACTACTTTTTCATTACTTATAATTTAAACATCAACGGGCCCAGGATAGATCCTTGTGGGATCCCTGTGGATTTTGCAATTTGACAAATTGAGATTTGTTTAGAAATATACGGTTATATCAGTTTAAGCATTAAAAAACATAAGCTAGATGTGGAAAAAAATAAAGTGAATATAAAGACGCCAAATTTCAACCCACTACTATATACAAGGAAGGTCTGTAACTTGGAAAACATTAAAGCTATTTTACTTTTAAAAAATCAGCCTATTCTGAAGTTGTATACTTCATCATATGCTTAACCTCCTAAGACCCGAACTCTTTCATGGCATGCATTTTAAATTTTTCTTTGCTATTTGGGTTGATTGGGACCTAAAGAATGTAAAAACAAAGGATTACCAGATTTTTATTTATTTTTTACCTAATTTTTGTTTGTGAGAAAAATGAGATCCACATATGAGGACATTTGTTTCAAATTTTGATAGAACAGTGGCAGTATAATCCTCGTAAGTGCATATCAGGCCCTTGTAGAGAAAACTTGTATTTTGGTCTAGATGTCCCAAAATGTGATGTCCACATATGTGGACACCAGGTCCTAGGAGGTTAAAAAAGTTCTCATTTCAGTTTCCCATTAAAAAAGCTTTTCAAATATTCAACTAAACCAAATGCAGTACCAAGTTTGGGATTTTCTATATGTACAGATGGGTGGCAAATTAAAGGCAAAGCCAACAGTAAGATTCAAAGACAAAATCAACTGGATCACAATAATTCATCCTTAAGAGACTAATGTCGCGTTCAGACCAAACACAAAGCAAAGTTTTAATGCAGCTCAGTTCATTTTAAGAATTTATGCTATTTCCCCCTGTCTGATGTCAACAGAAGCAAACCTGTGTTTGTGTAAATATTTCAATTTTAAATTTGCCTCACGCTACAGTGCGGATTCGCCCG